CATTGTAGAACACGATTAAATTAACATAGGTTACTCAGCCGCAATCATACATACACACAGCACACACACACATGGTGCTACATGTCTAAAACACACGTTACACACGACGCACATGTAACTAAAGACAAAGATCCCCCTATAGCCTTAACAGACTGCAGGGGCAAGTGCTGTTAGCGAGCACCTATGAAGGCCATGCATGGCACACGAGGGGGTGGGTGGCCCGTACCACGCCCAGGCGCCTTTGTCTCCCCTAGCGGAAATGTTTTTTTTATACATCGCGCTAGGTACTCAATTGAGGCTGAGTCGACCTAGGGGAGGCCCAGGACCGGTTCAGATTTTGGTCACCGGCACGGCGCACAAGGGCGGGTGGCAAGCCCCACGCCCGGCCGCCTTTGTCTTCCCAGTGGCGATGTTTACAATACAACACACTTGGCCCACTTTGTGAATTAACATCGGGTGTAAAACGCCGCTCTCTGATCGTAAAACCCCAATGTAATTTTTATATATACATACATGACTACATCTGTCGTAAATGAAAACGAACATACCTCGCTGAACATTTCGCAAACACCTGCTGGATATATAACATTGTATTTAAAGTGCGTTGTATGCACACGCGTATGATAATTACGCGTCAATGGCGTTGCACTGTTAATCTATAACTTTCGTAATGAGCATTTGTTTGAGTCTACACATTAAACGGGTGCGTTCATCGATATTTGTGACGCAGTGGCGGTGGTGGTGATTTATCCTCTCTCGGGGGCTGCGGCATGTCGCGAAACTCCCCCTTGTCGTTGTGCACGAAAAAAACATCGCCAACCGACTCGACAAAAGCGACGCGCTTCCCGACACTCCAACGCGATTCTTCTCCCGAAAATTGAACCTTCAGACTCACCGAGGCCGTCCTGCTTAAATAAAAGAACTTTGGTAATTGTAGTAATTACTTCTATTACCCTTAATGCTAAAGGGTAATTGCACGGCGAGCGTAATGGTGACGCTCGTCGTGCACAAGATAAATCGCACGCGGCGTTCGTGGAGCCAACGAGTGGAACAACGCGTTCCGCGGGAACGACCGCCGAAGTGGGTGGATTATTATTATTACATCGGCAGGAGGATCGTGAGAGGTAGCGGGCGGCTTAGTCAGAAAGGCATTCATCCAGCAGTGGATTCGCCCTGGCTCACGATGATGATGACGATGATGCCCTTTCTGACACGTGCGCACGACTGTGACGCCCGCTGCAGTGAGGACGCAATTAACCACAAACGCACACACATAAAAAATCACACCACACACTCACACACAATCAAACTCGCACACACAACTGTCTCACACACAGACGCACGCGCACAACACACACATACACAACACACTCGTTGTGTGAAGCTCGGGTCTCGGACACGCTGCTTGTGCGTGAGTGTGTGTGAGAGTGTACCGTGCCGGCCTTCATAAATGCTCGATAACAGCACTTGCCCCAACAGTCTGTTGCAGGCTATAAGGGGGATCTTTGTCTTTGCGGGTGCACGTTTGGGGAGCGGTGGTGTAGCGGTTAGCGCGCTGGGCTACGAGCACGGCGCCTCGAGTTCGATTCCTACTCACGGCCAACACCGCCAGTGACGATTATCTCAACGAGTCCTGGGCCTCCCCTAGGTCGACTCAGCCTTAAAAAATTAGGGGAGACAAATACCGGCCTTCATTGGTGCTCGCTAACGGCACTTTCCCCAACAGTCTACCAAGAGCTACACGGGGAGTGATCTTGGTCTCTTGCGCGTGTGTCTGAGTGTGTCAGTTACACGTTCGGTCGTGTAGCAGCACTTGCCCGTGTGAGTGTATGTGTGTGTTTAATTATCACAATACGACCCCACGTCACACCAACACGCGTGACACACGTGCTGTTTGGCAATCACTTGCTTTATGAATGTTATTCATGTTACATTATTGTATTGTATTCAAAAGTTATGTGTTTTATATACGTGTAGGCGCGTATGCGTGGTGTATATGTAGTCGTACACGTGTGTGTGTGTTGACGTGTGTTTATATTTGTGTGTGTGTTATCATTACGAATGTTTTGTCCAGTTACTTTTTAAATGCCATTCGTAAGAAAAGAAAGATTGCTGTTATTATTATTTTATAGCAGTAGTTAAACAACAATTAATGTTCTTTTAATTTCGACTTGTGTATAAATCTGTACCATTATCAATGCGCGCACTGCCACGCAGCAATAAAATAAAGACGCCACGGGATCAAGGCTGGCATCTCCACACGCACGCACACATTGACTATATTCTCCGGATTATACGACGCACTTTCCCATGTATTTTATTACAACAGTCGTGGGTGCGCCTTATAATCCGGTAGAGTTGCGTGCGTTTGTGATGTGCGCGCAACCAGATGTTTGCGTGACTTCATTTTTTGACGCCGAGCGCGAGGTTTTAGTCGTGCGTCTTACTTTCCGGGCGCGTCTCACAGGCCCGGGACAACGCGACGTCCGATCGGTGTGAGTGCCGTTGACAAAATGCGGTGTGTGTGCGGTGTGCGCTGTGCGCTGGATTTGGATCGATCGATGATGAAATCATCCGGCGGTCCGTGTCCTCCCCGTTCCGTGCAATTTCCGCCACCCGCCGCTCTGCGTGAGATGATCGCAGCGGTGCATCATCCATCGCTGCGACGGCGGGTTCATCGGTGATGTGTTCGTGCCCACTCGCACTGCCCGTGGACGATGCCGCGTGGGGAGAGACTTTCCCTTGCGCCGAACCCAAACCACCCACCCCACCCCACCGCATACACCCACCACTGCAAGCTTACGTTTAAACAATAAAACAACCCAAACGCAAACTCGACACGCTCCTCCCTCGCACTGCCACGGCGATGAATAACTCAGCGCGACGTTTCGGGCGCCGATTCTTTTAAGTGTTTCGAAGGTGCGCGCGCGCGAGAGAGAGAGAGAGATCGTGCGCGTCCCGAGCTTGCTAACTGCGCACGATGGCGAGTTTAGGGAGACGTGCTAGAACCCCTCGGCGGGAGTGCATTCGTGATGTATAATATATAGAACAAAAAAGTGATTTATTTACGATATATATACACGTGGCTACATTCGTGTAGGGCATTTAAATTCGCTACAACGTGTCGTGTAAGATTAACGTTGCTTATAACGTGCATCGACGTACTGCCATGTATTTTATATCTATATTTAAACGCACACAATATTCAGCGTTCGTGTGGATAATGGAGAATTATAATTACCAGTGAGAACCCCTGGGTGCATGTACGCGCACGTGCATGTGTACGCGTGTGCATGCATATGTGTGTGTGCGTATATGTATTAAAACGTGTGTGCATGCGTGTACACAATACACACACACGTGCATAATACACAGCAGACAATGGCAATTTAAAAAAAAAAAGATTCTGCGAAGACTGCAATGTTAAATATTTTCCACCGCGATAATTGACAGCAAAAAAAAAATCGCCACGTCAATAAATATTTTTTGTTCTTTTCAATTATACTCCGACGTTTCGGGCGACCTCTCTAGGCGAGGAATAAAATAACGCACCCGACGAACTCAGCCGGCGTCTTCCAATCGACGCCGGTGGCTCACCGTCGTCACGAACGACCTCGCACTCGCTTACAGGGGAAACGCCGAGAGCGCTGCCTCGTAACGCCATCATTTAACGGGCTGCCGTTTCGGGCAACGGCCCTCTTTAAGAGGGGGGCGAGAGATTGGCTGGCGTATTGTCGACGCACCCGGGGGTGGGGGGGGGGCGTTAGTCGGCGCACCGATTGCGCTACGAACCCGCCAGCGACTTGAGTTCGATTCCCGGCCACGGCTAACGTCAGTGGCGAGTGATATCTTGACTAACCCCCCCCCCCCCCTCCTTCACCAACCCGCACTACCCGGCGTGGGGAGGTATGGTCAAACAACCGCGGCGAGTGACACGGCTGTCGATGAAGGTGAACTATTACACTTGAATCGCCTATTTTGTAAACGTAACATTTAAACTACGCGCTCACTGCCACGTACTGGACACGTGTACACGCACTCGGCACTTGCATTGCTCTGATAGCTGCCGATGTGCGTGTATATGTACGCGTGTGTGTACGCGTGTGTGTGTGTGTGTGTACACGTGTGTGTGTGTACGTGTGTGAGTGTGTGTGTACACGTGTGTGTACACTTGTGCGTGTGTGTGTGTACACGTGTGTGTACACTTGTGCGTGTGTGTGTGTACACGTGTGTGCACACTTGTGCGTGTGTGTACACGTGTGTGTGTTATTAGGTCGACTCAGCCTCAAACGAGTACCCGGTGTGGTGTGTAAACATCGCCACTAGGGAGACAAAGCCGGTCGGGCGTGGTGCTGGCCACCCACCCCCTCGTGTACCGTTCCGGCCTTCGTAGGTGCTCGCTAACAGCACTTGCCCCGACAGTCTCTTAAGGCTACACGGGGGATCTTTGTCTTTGTTTTTTGTTACTGAAACGGTCTCGACCCTCCCCTGCAGAGGCTCACACACCGCGCTACGGTCCCGACGACCCGCGTTCAACTCCCGTCCGCGCACATCAGCGGCATGCCCAGAATAAGCTCCTCCACCACCCCCCTCGCCCACCCCTACCCAGGTCTACTCATCCTTAAATAAGTACACGGTACAGTTTCGTGATCAATAACAGGATTAGGGAGACAAAGGCGGCCGGGCACGCGTGCGTCCGTCCTCAACGTTTCGGCCTCGATCGACGCTCGCTAACAGCACTTGCCCTCCCGCACCGGTCAAGTTTTACGAAGCTACACGGGACATCTTTGTCTTCGCTATTGCGCTACCGCATACATTCATACATGCACACATACACGCGCACATACGCACGTACACACAATCACGCGCGTACTTACGCACGCGCGCGTACACACACACGCACGCGCGCGTACACACACACGCACGCGCGCGTACACACACACACGCACGCGCGCGCACGTGTTTGTGAGCGCGTCTGCGGTGACTTCAAGCGTACTTACTGTGCATAGCGGCGAAGGGGTCGGGCTTGCAGTGCATATCCATAGGGGACGGGAAGGGAAAGGAGTAGTGCAAGGTAGACAGTTTGACAGTCTTCTCGGCTCCTCCAACTTCAACGCGAAAGTCCTCCTCGCCCTGCCGCTCACTCGTCACCACGTCTCCTCTAGTGAGTCGCTGCTGCTACTGCTGCTACCGCTGCTGATATTGCTGCTGCTGATATTGCTGCTGCTGCTGCTGCTGTCGCTTGAGTCGTAAGGTTCTTTCGCTCAAACGCAACCGGCGCCGTCACCAACGTCAACAGCGCGGCGGCTGTGGGTGACGCGAGGCTTCGGCGGCACCTCGTGAATTATTGAACGCGACCGCTGCGGCCGGATCGGATTCCCTCGTGGTATCTCTCTCTGTGTGTGCGTGCGTGCGCGGGTTGCGCGAGGTCTCTCTGTGAGTCTCTGCGAGTCTCTGTGTGTGTCTCTGTGTCTGTGTGTGAATATTCACACGCTACCGTGCTCCGCAGTGAGGCACACTTCTTCGTCTCGAGTCTCCGCCGCCGCCGTCGCCGCCGCAATTCATTCAGTTTTGGCTCAACACCGTCGAGTCCACCGCATTCCAGCGACGCCTTTCCGCCCGTGTGCGCGTGCGTCTCTCTCTCTCTCCCCCTCTCTCTCTCTCCGCGTGCGTCTCTTCTCTGCGTCTCTCCGCCTCTCGGTGTCTGCGCGTGTCTCTTGCCCCGTTGCTTGAGTCGCTCTTCGTAGGCGCGAGATTGAGTCCGAGAACCCCTTGCAGCTTGAGGGTTCGTTTCGTTCCCTCGTCCCGGTCAATTCTGCTGCTGCCGCCGCTGCTGCCGATGCTTCTGCTGCGATTGTTGATTTCCGCTCGGGACTCACTCTCGCCCAGAGTTCTGCAACGCGATCCCTTCAATCGTTCGCAGCTCTTCCGCTATGCGGTGTGCGGTATATACACGTACACACACACACGCGTACACATACGCACACACACACGCACGCGCACGCACGTGTACTTGTGCCTCTCTGCGTGAGCGCTGATTCCAAATGTTTGCGCGTGAATGAATATGTAAAGCCGCGCCGGAACGATGTTGGACACCGTACGTGTGTGTGCGTGTGTGTGTATATACGAACAATTGTACACTCTACACGATGCACGTCTTAACAATGCATACTTTTAACGAGTCCCAGAAAAAAACTTGTATATTACATGTGATATCATATGATAAATATACGATATGCGTTTGTTTCTGATATATTTATAGAGAGCGTGCGTGTATATAGTCTCACTTAGGAGCGCACACAGTAAATAATAATGATATATAAGCAGTGTGCAGTGCTAGCGCGTGTGTGTGTGTCTATATAAGCGTGCTAGCGCGCGTGTGTGTGTATACATAAGCGCGCATGCACACGTGCGTTGTGTGTGTGAGTCTATACGTGTGAGAGTATCTATGCGTGCGCGCCTACGCAAGTGTGGAGTAGTCTATACAACGCACGTGTGTGAGTGTGAGTGTGTGTACACGCATACACTCGCACGCTCGCAACGCGCCTGTCAATCTGACTCGAGCAGTGTCACGCACTAGACGCACGCTGCAGGCTGACTCACTCACTGTGCTGGCTGGCTCACTGTGCTGGCTGGCTCACTGTGCTGGGCTGGCTCACTGTGCTGGGCTGGCTCACTGTGCTGGGCTGGCTCACTGTGCTGGGCTGGCTCACAGTCCTCACTCGCCGTGTCTGTCCACGGCACTGACACTCCACGACTCCCGCTGCTCCTTCCGTATAAAGCGGCGATCTCGCCTCACCGTCACACGCTCTCCCCTCCACACAACTCGCCATTGGTCGCCCACTCAGCCATTTATCAATGAGCCCAGAGCTACACTGCCACCCCCACTACCACCCACTACCACCCCCCCCCCCCCCACCTGGCTGGCACGTCACGAATAACATTAAGGCAGAGTCCTCCTCCTCCTCCGATGTCTCCCTCCCCACTCCTCTCTGCCTCTCCCGTTTCCCATCTCACCCGCTCGCTCCCTCCCTCTCTCTCTGCTTCCTCCTCCCACATCCCCCCCTCCTCCTCCATCTCCCCCAGGCGTACGCAGGGGGGGGAGTGAGGAGGAGAGGGGAGGGGGGAGAGCTATGGGGTTATCCCATCCCGTCCGGTACACACAGAGTGTCTTATACACGTCTTATTACGTACGCGTGTCTGTGTGTGTGTGTTTAGGTGTGTCTCTGTGTGTCTTTGCCTATATACACACACACGCACTGTGTGTGTGTGTATGTTTAGGTGTGTCTTCGTGTGTCTGTGTCTATATACACACGCACTGTGTGTGTGTATGTTTAGGTGTGTCTTCGTGTGTCTTTGTCTATATACACACACACGCACTGTGTGTGTATGTTTAGGTGTGTCTCTGTGTGTCTTTGTCTATATACACACACGCACTGTGTGTGTATGTTTAGGTGTGTCTCTGTGTGTCTTTGCCTATATACACACACGCACGGTGTGTGTGTATGTTTAGTTGTGTCTCTGTGTGTCTTTGTCTATACACACACACGCACTGTGTGTGTGTATGTTTAGTTGTGTCTCTGTGTGTCTTTGTCTATATACGCACACACACGCACTGTGTGTATGTTTAGGTGTGTCTCTGTGTGTCTTTGTCTATACACACGTACACACTGTGTGTGTGTTTGTTTAGGTGTGTCTCTGTGTGTCTTTGTCTATATACACACGCACTGTGTGTGTGTATGTTTAGGTGTGTCTCTGTGTGTCTTTGTCTATATACACACGCACTGTGTGTGTATGTTTAGGTGTGTCTCTGTGTGTCTTTGTCTATATACACACGTACGCTGTGTTTGTATATATTGCAGGGCTGAGAGATTGCAGTTTGGCGACGCTTCCATCCAGCAGTGGATCGATCATGGCTGATGCTGATGATGAAGTAGGTGTGGCTGTGCTCGCTCACAGCACTTGCCCCAAAAGCCTATGCAGGCTACACGGGGGACCTTAGTCTTGGTCCGTATATTCGCACGCGCGCGCGTGTATGTATGCGTGTGTGTAATTAGATTGCTTTGCACGCGTGTGTGAATTTGTGTGTTCGTATGTATGCTGTGTGTAAGTGTTCTCTATGTGTGCTGTGTACTATGTGTGCTGTGTGTATGTGTGCTGTGTGTAAGTGTTTTCTATGTGTGCTGTGTGTATGTGTGCTGTGTGTAAGTGTTCTCCACGTGTGCTGTGTGTATGTGTGCTGTGTGTAAGTGTTTTCGATGTGTGCTGTGTGTATATGTGCTGTGTGTAAGTAGTTCTCTATGTGTGCTGTGTGTATGTGTGCTGTGTATATGTGCTTTATATGTATGTATATAAACATGAATGTATGCGTGATTAAATACGTGGTGTGTGCGTGTATATAAATAATTTTAATGTATGTGCATATTTCTCTCTGTGTGTGTATATTGTTGTAAGTGCGTTGTGCATGTCTTTGTGATGGGGAGCGGCGGTGTATCGGTTAGCGCACTGCGCTATAATCCTAGCGACCCGAGTTGACGAATATCTAAACCGCTGCTGGCCATCCCCTAGATCGACGCAGCCTTAAATGAGCACATTGCGCGGTGTGTAACTATGAGCACGCCACACCGTGCCGACCTTTTTTTTTATTGTAGGTCCTCACGAACAGAACTTGTCCCAACAGTTTGTAGGCCTATGCGGGGGATCTTTGTCCGTGTAGTTCATCGTACGCGGACAGGAATCGAACCCAGGTGGCCGGCATCACAGCCAGAGCTCGCTAATGCCACTTGAGACTGGGGTCTAAGGCTAAACGGGGAGTGCGCGCGCGCGTGTGTGCGTGCTTGCTTGTATGTGCGCCCGTGTGTATGTGCGCTTCGTCTTGTATGTGCGTGTACACATGTGCGTCTGTGTGTGTGGCCTTCATAGGTGCTCGCTAACAGCACTTGCCCCTACAGTCTGTTAAGGCTATATGGGGGATCTTTATCTTTGTGTGTGTGCGCGCGCGTGAAAATGTGTGCGTTATGTGGAACGGAAGCGGAGTGGATAGCGCACTTGCGCTACGAACCGGGCGACCCGAGTTCGATTCCCGCTCACGGCCAGCATCAGTTGTGAATATCTGAACCGGTCATGTGGGCCTCCCCGACGTGGACCCAGGCTTAAAGAAACGAGGATCTGGTGGTTGCGGTACATCACTAATACGTCAACAATTCATTCATATACGCACATCACCAAGCACAATCGGAGAAGGATGAATGTCAAATAGACTGAGTATTCATCGGAGGGAACAAATGCGCGCACATCATAGCCGCGACGAATACAGCGACACGCGTACACAGAGACAAAGGTCCCCCGTATAGACTTTGGCAGACTGTTGGGGCGAGTGCTGTTAGCGAGCGCCTATTGAAGGCCGATACGGCACGCGATGCGGTGGGTGACCAGCGCCGCGCACGGCCGCCTTTGTTTCCCGAGTGGATATTTTTTTTGTTCACACATTGCACCAGGCACTTATTAGAGTCGATCTCGCGGGAAGCCTCGGGCCGGGTTCAGACGTCCGTCCAGCGATGTTGGTGGCCGTGAATGGGAATCGAACTCGAGTCGCTGAGTTCGTTGCACAGCGCGCCGACCACTACACTACCGCTTCCCATACAGGCTCACGGCAAAGACAAAAGATCCCTCCCCCCCGTATAGCCTTAACAGAAGTTTGGGGCAAGTGCTGTTAGCGAGCACCTATGAAGGCCGGCACGGCACGCGAGAAGGTGGGTAACACCACGCGCGGCCGCCTTTGTCTCCCAAGTGCTGATGTTTACACACCGCAACAGCTACTCATTCGAGGCTGAGTCGACCTAGGGGAGGTGGCAAAGCGCCGGCTCAGATAATCAACACCGGTGTTGGCCGCGGGCGGGAATCGAACTCGGATCGTTGGGTTCGGAGCGCAGCGCGCTAACCGCTATGGGTACCGCTACCACACACAAAGACAAAGATCCCCCATATAGCCTTGACGGACTGTTGGGGCAAGTGCTGTTAGCGAGCACCTATGAAGGCCGGCACAGCACACGAGGGGCTGGTTGGCCAGCACCACTCCCGGCCGCCTTTGTCTCCCCAGTGGCGATGTTTACACACCGCACCAGGTACTCATTTGAGGCCGAGTCGACTTGGGGGAGGCCCAAGCCCGGTTCAGATAATCGTCACCGGTGTTGGCCGTGAGCGTGAATAGAACTCGGGTCGCCAGGTTCGTAGCGCGCTAACCGCTGCACCACCGCTCCCTACAGCCGCGCGTGCACACACACAGCGGGTTACAGCCCGTACGAGCAGCAGCAGCAGTAATATTCGGTCAATAGGCGCTAAATTGACACGGGTTTGCATGACTTCCTAGAGTGATCGATATTGTTTACAGCAAACAAAAAAAACATCTTTTGTCAAACGCCGCCCGTGTTATTGATGATGACCGAGGTTTATTAGCGTTGCGCCTACGTGCATTTTAATGCGGATAATTTTTTCGTCTATATATATACATACACATGTATGTATATATGCCTGTGTGTGTTTAATTAATTTAAACATTGACCAGCGCGGTGAAGTATGGCCAGTCAACCCGGCGTGCGGGCGTCCTCGTCCAGCGGTAGATTGACGAAAGGGTTGTGAAATAGCATCGTGGTAGTCGTTATTGCTGTTTAGTGTAACAAATATAATACATAACGACTAACAATAATTGCGGAATAAATCTCGATGGTGATGCTGTTGCTGTAAGTAGCTGTGCTATGTTAACGGGGCGGTGTGTGCGCTTTAGGTGGTGGGTGTCTGCGTGTGTGTGTGTGTCTGCGTGTGTGTGTGTGTCTGTCTGCGTGTGTGTGTGTCTGCGTGTGGGTGTCTGCGTGTGTGTGTCTGTCTGCGTGTGTGTCTGTCTTCGTGTGTGTGTGTCTGCGTGTATGTGTGTCCGTCTGCGTGTGTGGGTGTCTGCGTGTGTCTGTCTGTGTGTGTGTCTGTCTGTGTGTGGGTGTCTGCGTGTGTGTGTCTGTCTGTGTATGTGTGTGTGTCTGTCTGCGTGTGTGTGTCTGTCTTCGTGTGTGTGTGTCTGTCTGCGTGTGTGTATGTGTGTCTGTCTGCGTGTGTGTGTCTTTGTGTGTGCCTTTGTTTGTGTCTGTGTATTTCCCTGGGTATTTGTGTGCGTCTGATACGTGTGTGTGTGTGTGTGTATCTGTGTATGTAGTGGGGAGCGCTATGAACCTGGCGACCCGAGTTCGATTCCCGCTCACGGCCAACACCGGTGACGATTTACGAACAAAGTCACGGGCCTCTCCTAAGTCGACTCAGCCTAAAAAAAACAGTGCCTGGTACGGTGTGCAAACATTCACACTGGGGAGACAAAGGCGTCCGGGCGTAATGTTGGGGTGGATACCCCAGCCGCGTGCCGTGCGGGCGTCCATAGGCGCTCGCTAACAGCACTTGCCCCAACAGTCTGCTCAGGCTATATAAGGGGATCTTTTGTCTATTGTGTGTTCGTCAGCGTTATTAAGCAATTGCTTGATATGCGGGAATAACATTTCCAGATACAGTGCGCGGATTTTCGTTTTAACTGTGGGAACACGCGCGCGTGTGCGTGTGCGTTTCTGCATTTGTGTGCGCGCGCTTGTGTGTGCGTGTGTGTCACAGCGTGTATGTGTGTGTGCGTGTGTGTCACAGCGTGTATGTGTGTGTGCGTGTGTGTTACAACGTGTATGTGTGTGTGTGTGCGTGTCACAGCGTGTATGCGTGTGTGCGTGTGTGTCACAGCGTGTATGTGTGTGTGCGTGTGTGTCACAGCGTGTATGTGTGTGTGTCACAGCGTGTATGTGTGTGTGTGCGTGTGTGTGTCACAGCGTGTATGTGTGTGCG